TCGTTCGGTCCCCCAAACCGACGAAATGTAGGCATGCCTACAACAGAACTAGTTAGTGAACAAAAGAGGAGGAAGAGAAGGAAATACATAAAACAAAAATGTATATATATCTTACCTCGGTGAGGTGGTACAGGCCCTCGTCATAGATGGCCTTGGGGTCACTCTACAGCAAGCGGTAGCGATCCCTCGGCAAGATCACCCCGCTCACTAGGGCCTGGCTAACCCCCTCGTCCTGGATGGAGTCCCCTTCTCGGAGCTGCCACTGTGGATGAAATATTTTGTCGGTCCCCTCGGCTCTCTCAGGGAGCCCATGCACCGATGGCGGAGCTGAATAAGGCCCGGATGGGCGCTCCCCAAGCGTGGATCTCCTTGCCACCTCTTTCGCCTGGTGTTTAGTGTTGGCCATCTTCCACGGTGGCTCCTCCCTTGGCATATCTGTAGTGGGCCTCTTCCGACCCACCTCGGCCCTCTCCGTGGGCCTCTTCGGCACCTCGGCCCCCTCCGAGGGCCTCTTGATCCCACCAGCGAGCTCCTAGGGCGCTACCACCGGTTGCTTCCCCTTGGCAGGGACTTACTGATTTCCCCCCTTCACCAAGACAAGGGGGAACCTCTTCGCCTGGCCGCTTCGGCGTCTGTGTCCTGGCCTTCTTCCCAGCCTGCTTCATGTGGCCTTCTCGTGAAATCGTTACTTAGCATTCATCGGTACTTCTGTGAACAGCAAAAGAATAGTTAGTATAACAAGCTGAAGATGTGGAAGGCATGCGAAGTAACTACAAAACCTCTCCTACCGAGGGGGGCAGGGCTAATCCCATCAAACACTAGGGGGACCTCCTCCTCCACCATTAGCTTCACCTGGAATGTCCCCATCACAAGCAGATGAGCCACGACAACAGCCTCTTCATCTTGGAGTGGAGGGGGATATCTCTCGATGACTGCATAGGCCTCTCCCCAGTCAAACTCGAATCTCCAGCCTTCGGGGCAGTAGACGTAAAAGAACTTGTCCTTCCACCCGTGAATGGCCGAGGGGTTGTGCATCGGCTTCCCTCTTCGAGGATGGAAGTAATACATGTGGGCCTCGGAAGCTTGCTTCCTCAGCACGAAACATTTTCAATGTCAGCTTCACACCTCAAAGCCGAGCCCACATTAACATGGCTATGATGGTCCTAAGGGCATTGGGGACGAGTGGACTGATTGTGATGTCGTACCACTCCAGTAACTTAGAGATTAAGGAAGGGAGGGGAAACTTAAGGCCAGACTCTAAAAAATGCTGGTAGACATAGATTTCCCCCTCGTCAGGGGTCCATGGTGGATCACCTACATCAGGGACCCTAAGATCATAGGACCGGGGTATGTGGAATCTCCTCGCCAAGGATTTGACCTGGCCCACACCCAAGGAGTTGTCAAACTCTGAGTGTGGGACACCAGCGTCAGCCACCCTTCGGGCAACGCTCCCTTCCACCGGTCCAGCTACGAGCTCTACACCATCTTCCTCCTTGGCAGGAGGAGACCCTTTGGGCTCCCTCGGTGACGCCGACGTGGCGCTTTCATGGGGAGAGTTATTGCCCCGGCGGCAGCCCTCGGCACCCCTCGAGGCTACCCTTTCTCTCAGTACAACTTCCTCCCGTCGAAGAGGGTCTATGGCCAAAGAACCTAAGGAGGAGAAGGAGAAGGAGAAGGGGGTTTGAGGAGAGCTCCCTCTTGAGGTGTTTGGGAGGTCATGGCATTCAGGGTCGGAGTCTGAGAAAGACATCGTAAATTACCTAGACGGTGAAGAAGGTGAAGACGGGGTGTCCTGAAGGATTGATTACCTGGGAATGTCCTAAAGGATTGAGAGCTTGGGAGCTGAGTTCACTCGATAGCAAGGGTGCCTAAGTTCAAATGACGGGGAAAGTCATCACCATGGCCCCTATTTAAAGGAAAATGGACGGCCCAAATCTTGTTGGATTCGACCGCTGAGGCACCTCCGCTTCCACCATCCAACCATAATGCACCACCCGACACTCATCCTCAGAAGACGAAACGACGCCCAAGCAACGACTTAGATCACTATGGATCTGACGGTCACAAGGACTCTCCGCTTCTGCTAACCATCTATACCGCACCTCTTGGTGTGTTCCCTCGGAAGACGAAACAATGCTGGGCGAGCGAACCGCAAAGCTCATTTGCTGCAACCTGCTGGGTGAACTGCGGGGCCTGCCCATCGTGACCCACCGAGCGAACCACACAGCCTGGCAAACGCGCGCTTATCTGGGTGATCGTCCTTCTCACGGTGGACCCCTGACGACCACCTAACCTTACGTGATACGGACCATCCCCACTAACCCAAGGTACCCACGCCACACGCGGGTTGCGGCAGGTGAGCCACAGCAGGGGGGAAGCCCTGATGCCTTCGTATGGAGACAACCGCGGAGCAATTAGGCATGCTCGCAAGGACCTGTCGCCTGACTTCGTATGACTCTCATTTGGTGCATTCATCTCCACCTACCTCTAGCTCGCTCAAGTATAAATATGAGGTAACTCTCCTTTGACAGGGGATCTAGATCCTAGAATTTCGGTACAACTCTCTCGTTTGCTTCCAGTGCCTTGAGTTAAGTCATTGTACCTACCTCGCCTTGTTAGCATTTACTCCTTGGCTTCTACCGTACTCAGAAGGGAGCACCTCACCTCAACCTCGGCTTACCCTCTTCAGAGTCCTCAAAGCCTTCGGCCTGCCTTCAAAACTTGGGGGTGAATTTACCTCGTTGCCCTCAGCTAATCTGAGCAACAAGTGATGATGGGTTTTGGACAATTACCCATAAATAAAAGCATAAACCCACTTTGTATAAACAAGTGTGATAAATTCTAGTAATAACTGTTCATGTTAGTGCAAACTTGATAAGTTTCCTGGCTGGTTGTAGTGGAGACGGGATCAAATCGCATTGCCACTAGGGTTGGGAGGACGGGCTACCCCTGCTATAAATATGTAGCCAAAAAATGAAAAAAAAAATGCAAACTTAGTTTGATATTACATTGATAAATTCTGTATCATTCATGGCCGGGATTGGGCTCAGGTTTTACCAAAATTCGAATGGGCCTGAAGCCCAAATGTGAAGCAGTGTAAAATGTTTATGGCTCGAGCCCGGAGCCCAGCCAATGAACAAGTCAAGTTGTGATACTATACCAAATATTTCGGCAAAATTTTAAGACTGGAATTTACAATTTTTTACATTGATCAAGTTTGGGTGCAAAATTTTGATTTCATCTTGAATAGAAAAATATAAGAAAAAATAAATGTACTTTTTACAAAAATGTATACTTATCAAATACCTGCAAAACTGAATTGTATTGCAGATTTGCTTCAGTTAAACAAAAACAAATTTGAATTTTTTGGTTAGCAAAAGACTTTCATTTTTAATAGAAAGACATTTATGTCAAATATTTGCTGAAATGCAAATTTCTCAAATTCAACATTTGTATTCTTACCAAATGCAGCCTATCTAACAAACAGAAACCATACAACAGCACAAGGGAACAAGTGTAAGCATTAAAAAATAGTTAAGTTTGTAAACTCTGATGGCCAATTCCGAAATTGATAGTTATTTTATTAATAAATTTTGCGACCAAAATTCCCAGCACAGAATTTCCATGCATTGGCAACCCGTTCTTGGAATGGGTGGAAATAAAATCCACATTCACCGATTAATTAAGTCTCCGGTGGATCCCGTAATTGGTGGAAATTCCCCTTGGGAATTTAATTAAATCGGGTCATGTGTATTGTCACGAGCTTGAGTTCACGTGAAGGTCAGATTCAGTAGCAAAAGTTTAAAACTTTTAAATTTGAGAAGCAACAGTGAAGATTCGGGCGGTGTTTGGTACTAGGCAACATTTTTTTATTGGATTTTGGGTTGAATAAGTGATTCTTGTACAAAATCCTAAAAGAAATATTTTGTTGGTGTTTATATTCTTTCCGTTTGAAGACACAGATGCTAATGGTTGCAGACTTGCTGTATCATTGAGTTGAGAATTTCGTAACGAAAGGTGAATTTCTTTATCTGAACCAACGTAAACTCATAAATATTTATTCTACCTGCTTCTATTGGTTTCTTTCGTGCGCTTTTCCTGCTTGGTGAAAGAAGCCAAGGTCTGTTCTGCTCCTCTCTACTGTTTAGACTGTTCTCATTTTAGGTTGTTTGTGTGTAGGCCTTCAGTGATCAGAAAATTCTGATTTTAGATTGTCTGCATGCATTTTCTGCATGTGGGTCTCCTGTCTCTATACTTGATCAATTTTGAGTGCTTGACTTCATATTTTCTTGTATGGAGTAGCGACGTGACATTGGTTTGATTTCCATCCGAGTTGTGTTCTTCTGTTATTGGGTGTTTTACATGGATCGGACTAAAGACTCTCCAGTTGAATATTTATGAAGTGGGGTTTATTAGCTTATAACTTTTTTCAGACTTGGTTTTAAATAGAATTTGATTATCGGGGTTCTGTTTCTCTGCTCTGGGAATTTGATTATAAGCTGTCTAGTGGTGATATTTGCTACTTACTAAAATTTCCACTGAATTTCAGGCTTACTCTTTCGCTGTGATAGTGAATTTGAGTGGTGTTTGAATCTTAATGGAGCATTCTCTGGAATTTTCCTTTTTGCTGTGAATCAATCTTAGAATCTCCTTTGCTTTTTCTGCAACCTGTCCATTTAAGTTATTTGAGATCCAGAATCCCTTCCAGGGGATCAATATTAATACATGGTTTTGCATTAAAGCCTTTTTTATCTCGTAGGATTTAGCTGAATTTGGTCTTCTATTTAATATCTTATTTCTGTTCTTTTGACTGGAGAACTATCTGATCAAGATGGTAATCCAGAACTGAGTTGGAGTCAATTTTTGTAGGTTTGTGCAAACTATGATATCACTGTCTTTGTTCTTGCTTCTGATGAATATGAATAGAATCTGATTTATTGGATTTGTCTTATATTGATTATGGGTGGTTTAATAGAGAAGTGCAATTTTCATTTGTAAAGATGGAGATAACCAATGTTATGGAGTATGAGGCCATTGCAAAGCAGAAACTGCCAAAGATGATATATGACTATTATGCATCAGGTGCAGAGGACCAATGGACTCTTCAGGAAAACAGAAATGCATTCTCAAGGATTCTGTAAGCTTACTTTATTGGTTCATTCCTTTATGGTCATCAACATATCCTAAAGATTTCAGTCACTCTCTGATTCACCCTTTTTCCATATTTGGATGATCCTGGTATTATTGGCAAGTCCTTTTATTTCAAAGTGCTTGCTGTGGAAAAGCCAGAAACGGTTTTAAATTCCTTCTTTTGATTATATGCCTACATTTTTACTATGCTTTGGCCAAGTCTTTTTTATTCTTCCAATGTTATTTCTCTTTAAGCAAACTTGTGATAAGAGTTTGCTTTTTGATACAAAAAGTTGCAGAGTTCATTGTGGTGATTCTACTAATATCCCTATTTGTTTGTAACTTTGTACAAATAGGTTTCGACCTCGTATTCTTATTGATGTCAGTAAGATAGATTTGACCACTACTGTCTTGGGATTCAAGATGTCAATGCCCATCATGATTGCTCCCACTGCCATGCAAAAAATGGCTCATCCTGATGGTAATCTCTTGTTTCCATATGCATGTCCTCTTGTCATGCTAGAGTAAAATTCAGAAACATGTAGTAATAACAAAATTTGAAACTTGTCCATGTACTTGAATGATACTATTTGGGATTAATTGAGTCATATTTGATCATTACAGACAAATTTTGTATATTTGGTTGAGTTTTGTAACTGTAGTTTTAAGCTATATCTTGGTGAAAAATCTAAACAACATCTAGGATGCAGTAATGAGGGTAAGTTCACACCAAACTTAGTTGACAACTTGAAAGTTGAGTTCCTTGTTGGGTCTAATCAAATTAGTGGGAAGTTTCCTCAGTACCAATTGATCTTTGGGACATGTTTTGAGTTAAGGTTAAGACTTGTACAAGACTTAAAAATTTCAAGCATCCTAATTGTCTAAAATTTGGACTGGCATTTGATTGAATTTATCTTAGTTAATATATTTGGTTCTTTGATTGCATTCTTGAGCACTGAGTCTACATAGTTCAGGCAAATTTCTTTTTCAGGGGTTTTGAGGACTGTAATATTTCTAAGACTTAATCTAGTGAAGTTAAAAAGGAAGCCCAATCTCTTCCTGTAATTAGTATAATTTTCAATCCTTCTTTTTTTTCCTAAAAAGAAGATAAACATGTCTGATCCCAACATTTAATTCTTCCGCAGGAGAGTATGCAACAGCAAGAGCAGCATCAGCTGCTGGCACCATTATGGTTTGATTTCTCATCTTTTATGTTTTATGAAAAAAATTGTTATTTAAACTAACACATAAGCATCAACCCTTGAATTTCAAGTCAATATTAGTTTGAATGTGAATGGTTTAAGTTAAAGGACTATAGTTTCTGAGCCATGTAAAGGGAACCCATTGTCTTGGAAACTTTACATATTTGATATGATTGTTCATATGCTCATTAAAAAGGGGCCCAATTTGTTTCTAGCCAGTGATGATTTCCTAACTGAATAGGAAAAAAGCTTGCTAACAAACCAAGTGTTGCTGATAAGTATATATTTGTTTGATTATATGTAATACTGTAAACTTCCAAGTACCAATACATCTTTGATTTAGTACTGAAATATTAGGATCACATTTTTATGCACACCATTCCAAATTTACATTTAGCAGATTTTTTTCCACTGAATTTATAATCTTCATAGATCTTACACGACTAATATACATTCCTCACTCTATTTATGCATGATTGGTTGTTCCAGACATTATCATCATGGGCTACTTCCAGTGTTGAAGAGGTTGCTTCAACAGGACCTGGCATTCGCTTTTTCCAGCTCTATGTAGATTTCACTGACCCTTCTTTATTTTCTTTATTATTATTTTTTTTTTGGATCTGGTTCTATGAAGTGCTTTTTGCATTTTAATTCTCCATCTTCTCTATCAGATAAATGGTTGTCTTGCAAATTGTTCAGGTACATAAAGACAGGAATTTAGTTGCTCAGCTTGTTAGAAGAGCAGAAAGGGCGGACTTCAAGGCAATTGCCCTCACTGTTGATACTCCAAGACTAGGGCGCAGGGAGGCTGACATCAAGAACAGGTCATTCTGAAATTTGTTTATCCATAGAAATTACTTAATTAGGTTGATCCATTTTTTGACTTTACATGGTAAATTCGCACTTACGAGTGCTTGAACCGTGCACTTTGCTGTTTTATACGAATCTGAATTACTTTTAATGGAATGTTATACAGATTCAGTTTACCACCATTCTTGACATTGAAGAATTTTGAGGGGTTGGACCTTGGAAAGATAGACAAGGTTAGTGAAAACACTCTTATTGTTGATTATGTTCCTTAACTTAAATCATTCATGGTTTGATTTCTGGGCCCAACCATAGACAAATGATTCTGGACTTGCGTCATATGTTGCTGGACAAATTGATCGATCTCTAAGCTGGAAGGTATGTTAGTGAAACTTCAACAATTGGGGTTATTCTTCAAGTCATATCATAGTTGTCATAGATCAATAAAGACAAGATGGATATATATCTCTTATTGTTGCTTGAATTATAAAAGAAAAAGTCTACTCTTCTGAAACATTTGCAATGAATTTGGACAGGATGTGAAGTGGCTCCAAACAATCACAAAATTGCCTATCCTACTGAAGGGTGTACTCACTGCTGAGGATGGTAAGTAATATTAGAACTGAAACTCTTCTCATATTCCTAATTTTTTATATGGACTCTCCAGCTCCAATATGTTGATTATGCAGCCCGATTAGCCATAGAAGCTGGAGCAGCAGGAATCATTGTCTCAAATCATGGAGCCCGTCAACTTGACTACGTCCCTGCTACTATCATGGCTCTAGAAGAGGTTAGCACCTTAATTATATCTTATATCTATTTGACATCATATGATGGATTATTGCTTGGTTTAATGGTAAAATCTTGGGCTGACAAAAGTATGTGAATGTGGGTGAAGTCTGAGAGTGGTTTCTTTGTGCTAATAAATAAATAAATAAAATAATGCCAAAGTTTAGGTCTGTATCCAGTCAATGCCTCCTATGACTAGGGCTGTCAATTGGACTGGATTTGGTCCAATCCGGTCCAGTTCAACATTGGTCCATTTACAAATGGACTGGACCAAATCCGGTCCAAACCCCATACAAACCGGATTCAGTCCAGTCCAATTGAAATGCAAATGGACCGGATTGGACCCAATCCAGTCCAAATTAAATGTTTTCCTCAAAAAATGTTTTTCATACTTAAAAATCAACATAAAAGGATATGATTTCATTTCACACAAGAAGTTTACTGCGTCATCTGAACTGATTTGAAAGCCATTAACGTCATCTGAAAGCCATTAAAAGTCAACATAAAAGGATATGATTTCATTTCACACAAGCAGTTTACTGCATCATTTGCCGGTTCAGTTGTGGGTCACTACCATTAACGTCTCAGTAAACCTTTTCATCTCTGTGGCTCTATAGTAATCAATTATCAGGGATGATACCAGAATCTATTGGGAATTGTACTAAATTGGAAGAACTCTATCTTACTGAGAACCAGTTAGTTGGAGTTCTGCCTAAGAGCCTAAACAATCTTCAGTTCCTTGCTTACTTGGATGCCAGTTCCAACAGACTTGAGGGCAAGATAAAGTTGGGGGTTTCAGGTAGTTGCAGGAATTTGCAGGAGTTGGTCTTGACTTACAATCAATTTGATGGAGAAATATCATCAGGCTTGGGCAATTGCAGTGGCTTAAGATTCTTGGCAGCTCTGGGTAATAAATTAACAGGTCAGATCCCCTCTTCCTTTGGATTACTAACTAAATTGGAGCTACTTTACCTCAATGAGAACTCTTTGTTAGGGGTAATTCCACCAGAGAAACCAATTCGAAGGCAAAATTCCAAGTGAGTTGGGATCTTTGAGTAAATTAGAGGAACTTGCGTTGTTTACAAACAGATTGACTGGAGAGATTCCAATAAGCATTTGGAAGATTCCAATCCTCAGATATCTCTATGTCTATCAGAACAATTTGTCTAGGGAATTACCTTTAGAGATTCCAACCCTCAATGTCAGTGATGATGAGGCAGAAAAGGGCCCTAATGCCGCAGAGGCCTTGAGGGCTCAGGTGAATGCTAAAGAAAGAGATGAGCAGACTTCAAGTTCAAGTGGGAGCAGTGAGAGTGGAAGTGGGAATGGGAGTGGGAGCAGTAACAATGACAGTGAAGCAGGTGATGAAGATTCAGTCAATTCTATCTGAAATATCAAAGTAAGGTGGGGTTAACTTTTATTTAAACACCCCAAATAATAGGTCTAGAGATACAACAAAAACAAAAATGTGCTTTGCAATTGGTCAAAGGGAAAAACAGAAAAAACAAGTAAAATGTTCCTCCATGTTAGGGAGCATATTTGGATCATGCAGGAATATTTGTGCAGGGTGCTTTAGTGATTTTTACCTGCGTTTGTATGGTCTCCTAACTCCCATTAATATCTTTTCATATCTTTTATAACTCTGGCTTGTAGAATATGACATAGAGCAATAGTCCACTGCAGCCAATCCCTCATATACCATCACATGGCTGATATCTACTTCCACAGGCTCTCTAATGAGAGCAACCCTTCAGAGCTTTTTTCTATTCTATGTACTTGTCAACACATGAACTTACCTTAGTGATCAAGTGTAAGACATCATATGCATAGACTTCACTTAAAATGAAAGAGTAAAAAGCTCAAATTGAAGAAACAAATTTAACATCTGAAAGTATAGGCATCAAAGGCCAGAATATAAATAGGAAAATCTATTTTAGGCAAAAATAACTTAAAATCTAATCAGTGATGATATTTTTTTGTTAGGTATGTTAAAAAAAAAATTTATTGTTCATGGTCCAACCAGTGAAGTGGGTTTTTCAATTACATTTCCAACCTAATTTATTGTCCTAAAAGAAATAGAAAGCCTAACCCAAATGATCAAAACCTGGTAATCCCAAACAATAGTTAAAATATATGTACAGGGTCAGATAACTATGAGTACAGTTGGGCAAATGTTCAAAATATCACAATGTATCAGTGAACCCCTCTCAACGTAAACTGTCAGTACATACTGAACTGAACAAACAGAAAGAAAAAATAAATAAAAAACATTTCCCTTTGGAAACTCCCATTTTTCATATCATGAGTGTCTATACAATGAATCATGCATTTGGCTTTCTAAAACAGAAAAAGAAAATAAAAGAAAATAAAAGAAAAAATCTGAATAAATCTATCACTTTTTTAACTGAATCATGCATTTGGCTAGAAATACTCCCATAGGTACCCACAGTAGCACTGCCAACACGTTTAATGGTGTAGGCATTGCCACTGCCCGTCCGTTGTGGAAGATTAATGGCTTCGGATAATCCTTTCTTGGCAAGGATGGGGCCTTCTCCTCCACCGGAACAAAGTATACTTCCTACAAGTGACAATGGCTCAAATGTAGGGGAGAGAGTGAGAGCGAGAGAGAGAGAGAGAGAGAGAGAGAGAGCACATGGCATCAGGCATGGTGAAATAACAAAATCAGGTGATCAAACGAAATACCACCATCTGCCGGGGATACTGAGGATGGAGCGATGGAGGCGCAGAGGCGCTGAACCCTAGCCTTCGAAAGCTTTCACACTTGATGCTTCAAAGTTCAAACGAAAATGAACATTGAACGGACCATTTGAACTAGTGGCTTTGTCCACTTTCGGTCCATTCTATGAATGGACTATTCATGTTCGGACCGGTCCGCGTCCATATCATTTTTAGGACCGTCCAGTCCGTCCATATCACTTCCAATTCGGACGGTGTCCAACCCAAAACCGGTCCATTGACACCCCTCCCTACCTATGACCCCTTGTAGCTGGGAACAACATTGAGTAATCTCCTTTTTTGACATGGTATACTGATATACAACAAGTTCTGTTGAACTAAATTTAGGTTGTTAAAGCTGCACAAGGCCAAGTTCCTGTTTTCTTGGATGGTGGTGTCCGGCGTGGGACAGATGTTTTCAAAGCATTAGCCCTTGGAGCCTCTGGCGTATTTGTAAGTAGATAATCCACAAAATCATGGTGACATAGCCTCATAAATTCTTCTGTTCATCAATTTTTCTTATCTGACTCTGGTTTCAATCTCAGATTGGAAGGCCTGTGGTATTCTCTTTGGCTGCTGATGGTGAAGCTGGTGTGAGGAAGGTGCTCCAAATACTTCATGATGAGTTTGAGCTTACTATGGCACTATGTGGTTGCCGCTCACTCAAGGAGATTACTCGTGACCACATTGTGACTGAATGGGACCATTGTCGACGTCTTCCTCCTCTCCCTTCGGCCAGGTTATAAATATTCTTGTTCACCAACAAGCCAATAAATCCTACAATAAGATTAAGGTTTTTCTGTTTGAGAACCTGTTGTCATTTGAAGGTTTTATTTGACATCTGATGAGTGCAGTAATAATTATTTGAGTTCTTAAGCTTTTGTAATGATGAATATGGTACTTCCATAGGCGGCTATTGTAGACTTTGTTTGAACCAGGATCTTGTTCTCCAAAATTTCAATCGAGGCTGGGTTGATACTTGTTTGTTGACACCCAATTTGCAACTGCACTTCCCAAAGGAACTTTTGACAATGGGCCATGCCGTGCCGGCCCGTAGACCTGGAACCCTAGGCCCAGCATGGCCCGTACCATAGTGCTGGGCCTGGCATAGCTCGCATGCCATCGTGCCGTGTCGGTCCAAATTCGGGCCGGGCCCGATTTACACCTCTACCTCTAAATGACCCATATATGTATCTTCCCCACCACCACAAACTCAAATCTGTCAAAGACATTAGATGTACATCTCAGATCCCTGATGGCATAAAAATCTGCAGCTCTTTTTTCTCCAAGTTGCTTCAAGTGCCTGAACTTTGCACTACTTCCAGTTTGAATTACGTACAACTGTAAGTTTACGTCTTTTTTACATGGATCAACATGTTTTTTGTTGGAACACCCATTGCTTCCATTACATCTCCACCTCACTTAACCATCACTATACCAAGAAAACATCACGAGGGCTTGCCATCAATCCACTATTAGGGCCCAGGGATTCCTCCTGATTATCCAAACAATTGATTTTCTCTTTTAACTCATTCACTTTTTTGCTAGGCAAACTAGGGGATACATAGGGGGTTGGGAGGGTGAAGATGTTTATCAATCCTGGGTCAGTGGGAACTATATATATCCAATTGATCCAGATATCATCTTCCACTCATTCAGTCAGTCCATACTGGGTTGACTCGGATGAGTTGAGCAGGTTATTATTCATTTCTTTCACCAAGAGATACCAAACCAGAAAAATGGTTTTCAGCACATGTCATAGCTGTTCACAGGGTCCCAGTACAATGGAAGGAACTTCCAGCCCTGCCTTTGTGAGATCAAACCTGTCCAATAGACCAATTTAACTAACCCATTAGTTGATTAAAACGAAGGTTTATTCTGCAGTCTGCACCAGCTCAAAGGTGTATAAAAGAGAAGCGGTTTATTAAGAGATTACTACCTTTTCCACAAGAACTGATTATGTAGGCCTTGCTCAACCACTGTTAAAGGGTTCTAAAGGCAGTGGAGGCAAAGAATGACTATGGTTGAAGTTCTGAAAAGACTTTTGATGGATGGGACTGAAAATAAAATAGCTGATACAAACCTTGGTTGAGATGAATTGATGGCTGATTCTCATTCGTTCTTTCTGGCTCTGCTTTGCTGGGGGATGAGGGTTAGGATGGGGTCCATTAACCGCCAGTTGATACAGTTTCTGCTTTACACTTCCCTCTGTAAAGCATTGTATATGCAAGGGTGGGACAATCAGATTGGAATTTTGGCATGTGCCTCTCCTACAAATGGTTCTACAGTTCTAAGCCTAATACTAGGCCAATCGTGATTTGCCTCGTCAGCTTCATTTATGGGTCCCAAACATCAAAATTTCATTTGTTTGGAGGATTCAAACTCGAGTTCACATCTTCACCCCACAAGGAGCCGCAGCACATCCCTGCCATGTATTGAGAACATCTCCCGATGATGACATCATCGAAACTGGTACTATCATCGGGAGATGTTCCCAATACATGGTGGGGATGTGCTGTGGGGCGGAGATGTAGTCTCTTCAAACTCAGTCAGTCTCGCCCAAGCAGAGAGCACCACTGTCAAGTGTGCCTTGGCCAACATGTTTTTCTTTCCTAACAGATGCTATTGGACTAGTTTATATCATATCCACATGATATTGCTCATTCAGAAATCATCAAATATCAATTTCTGTCAGAAAGAATGCAGTTCCATCTTTCACATAAAAAGAAAAAGCACAATAGCCATGCACGAGAAAAATTAGAGAACAAATTAAGTGAAGAAATTATGTCTCGGCTAGCTTTAACAGATTAGTCATGGCTCATATAAGTACTACTGCCAAACGGGGATAAGATGAAGTTACTCAACATACCAAATAACCATACTGCCTTCAATTTCTAACGTCCACTATACAAATGGTTAAAATGCTAGTAACATAGAAACGCAGCCTCATAAACCCAGTCTGGGTTCATGAAAGATTAATTGAAAGGCTTTATATTCTTTGCTCTTTAGAAAATTCCTACATTTCAGTACTGAATGATTTAGTAGGTCAATTTGTTCATAGCTTTGGACTAAGTACTTATTCTAAATTTTTTCTTTGCATTTTCTTTGTAGGTTGATATTAGGAGAAATAGTTAATTGATGGATGAAGACTTCTTGATTAATATTGATATGTTTTTTGTAGTTTCATATATATTAGAACAATTCATTCAACTTTTGTAATATACTTTTTTTTGTGTGAATATGCTTTTAATGTATAAATGTATGAACCCTATTTGAAAAGCATATCGATTTTTGAATTTTATTAAAAAAATTATTTACAAATTTGATTTTAGGGAAATAAAATGTACATATAGGGGATATGAAAAATCACAGGTTTTAATGACTGTAATACTGAATATGATATTTGAACAGGTTTTTGTTATCTATAGCGACGCTCATCACCGCCGGAATAGGTTCAATTAAGTAAAGCTATTGCAGCGTTTATAAATGCCACTATATGTTCAATTAGTCATGACTATGATGGAATTCAATAGCAACGTTTATGTGGCGCCACCTAAGTACTATATTTATAGCAACATTTGTATTTTCCGCAATCGACATATATATACTATTTTTTTTAATTTATAGTGGTGTATCTATATGCCGCTATTGACTAATTAAATGCTGTTATTGAATTATTTAGAGAGGCATTTCATTATATGCCGCTATAACCTATAGTGACAGTTTCCAGAGGTGTAAAATAATGCGCTGAAAATAAGCCGCTATTAAACCTGTTCATTGGCCAGGCTTAGGTTTGGCTTTTGCCAAAATTTGAATGGGCTTAGTCTGAAGCCTGAATCCAAAACAGTGTAAAATTGGACTCAAAGCCTGTCCCGTAAACAAGTCTAATTGCTATAAATATAAAGTGATGTATAAAATATAAACTGATTTATAACAGTGAAATAAATGCCGCTATAGTAGTTTTTTTTTTTTCTTTTTTGTTATAGGGACATAATAAACATATATTTTGAAGGTCTCTATGAAGAAATGCATATACCATAGAGAAATATAGATATTATTGTCTTATTGATGAAGTGAATATTTGGGGTGATATATGGATATCCTCAATTAATGCATTCAGGTGGTCCTCAGGTGGGTCTTCTCTATCCCTCAAAAGTCTGAAATCATAAATGATCAAAACAGGAGTTGGGATCTTTAATTACTCAGACAGCTCCTTTGATTATATTATTGTCTACAGTGTTATAGTAAAACAAATCCAAGACCGAAAACGATTGGCAGAGAATGGAGAAAAAAAAAGGAAGAAAAAGACAGAGACACAAGAAAAATATACATAGATTTATGCGATTTAACTTATGGCCTATGTCCACGGGCAAAAGAGAAAAATTCCACTATGACAATGAAAATGGAGATATAAAGTTATGCAATCCGTAGTATTCTGTCATTTACATAAAATTCTGTCATTTATAGTCCATACCCATTATTCCGTTAATATTTGGACCGGCGAGGGTTGGATCGACCTTAGCCCAGGTCACCCCCAACTTAGTGGCAGCAATATAGATCTACCCAAGCCCGTTCAGAAATATGTCAGTCAAAGGATTTAAAATAAAAATGAACCAGGCCCAACATTGTCAATTATTGAATATCCAATAATCTAGCAAGAGTTCTCAGCCTAAATCATTAAATGATTTTGATGGAGGATGATTTGATCCGACCTACTGAAATGATGACACGTGTATCTGATTCAGCACGAGCAACAACTCAGCATGAGCAACAACTCAGCATCATGGTCTGATCACAACTAAGTAACGAGCCTATAGAGTAGCTCGCTATAGGGGGAGCCCACTACAACGCAAACTCCAGGTCCCCCAGCTACTGGAAAGGGAATACTCCAGGACTATTTCAGCTCGCGAGCTAGGGAAACCAGCTCGCTCCAGCACTTGGGAAGAAGAACTGCCCCAAAAGCCAACCTTGATGAGGGTCACCTTGAAGTACCCCTAATAGCTTGCTACAAAGTAGCTCATTGCGCGACAGGGTAGCTCGCGACTAAGCAACGCGATGCTCTCAGGAAGCTTCAATCTGACAAGACCGTACTCGTCAGACTGCACTACGTCTCTTGACTAACGGCACAGTCCCTGCCCATTTGACAGTCTGCATCCACGTCTCTCGACAGATGGTGGTGTGCCTGTCCCTTCAAGATGTGTCACTCATCCAAGCGGGTAGTACATTGTAACGATCACCTGCGCAGCCTTGGCAAGTAACGGCTGCGCAGGAGCCCAGTGGTGGTTACGCCCGATTTGACAAGAACGCCCCTATAAAAGCCCTTTAATCGAAGGGGAGAGGACTCTCTCGAGTTTTTTATCTGAACTTGAATTCCTACTTGCTCACGAGCTAATCTTGAGACACAGTGATCTAGCGCGACCTACACTCTTAGCCTTTTATACTCTTTTCTTCCTTCCCAGCGTTCTAACTTAAGCTTCGGAGTATTCTCGCCGGGCAAATCCCCCGGGAATCCTTCACCTTCGTCTTCTCAGGTGTCGTCCGTTGCCAGCAAGGAGCCAGTCAGCAGCCAGCTAGGAGTGCTTGGATCGTGCCGCATCATTTGGCGCCGTCTGTGGGAAACACTTCTAAAAGCCTTCCTCTAAAGCTTTTTGACGGGTTGTCGAAGCCCTCAAAATTAATGCTAGTCCCATAATAAAATTTTTGTAGTGATAGTGGTACTAGGTCGAATCCCACATGGAGCTAAACAATAATCTCTCAGCCGAATGAATAATATAATTGAGTGGGAAAATTAAATAACTAAAACTTAAAAGAACAAGAAAACAATAGCAAATTCAACTAACAAGATGTAATCAGTCTTACCGAATTCTGATTCAAGGGTTCGGGTTAGTCAATTGGCCATCGATCATAGGTAGATTTCGGTGGTCTTGCAATTCA